TCCTAGAGTTCCCTAAATCAGTAGTCCCCAACCTTTTTGGTACCAGGGACCAGTTTCATGGAAGACAATTTTTCCACAGACCTGGGAGGTGTAGGAGTGGAGAATGGCTTTGGTATGATTCAAGCTCATTACACATACTGTGCAGTCCAACCTCTCTGCTAACGATAATCTGTACTTGCAGCTGCTCCCCAGTGCTGCATCACCCCCTCAGCTCCACCTAGATCATCAGGCATTAGATTCTCGTGAGGAGCACACAACCTACATCCCTTGCATGCGCAGTTTACAGTAGGGTTCACGCTCCTATGAGAATCTAATGCCACCGCTGATCTGACAGGAGCTGGAGCTCAGGCAGTGATGTGAGCAATGAGGAGCAGCTGTAAATAGAGATGAAGCTTCACTTGCCAACCAGCTGCTCACCCTCTGCTGTGCGGCCTGGTTCCTAATAGGCCATGGACCAGTACTGGTCTGTGGCTCTAAATGACAGCACGTGTGGAGTGAGTGGAATCTACTTTACATGTCAACACTATACATTACATATGCTTTATCATTTATTTATACAAGATTTCCTTATGCGTTGCTCTATTCCACACTGACATCATTGGTAGGTTATGTGGTGACTTCGGTTGGAAGAGATTAGGTCACGTAATCTTGTGCTTTTCATCATTAACGTTTCTAGTGAGAGTGAACACGTAATTCCTCTCCATTACCTCGGCAAATGGTAAGGAAAAAGTAGGACCTCCAGGCTTTCTTCAAAATGCACCCTCAGTATCCATCCATAGCCACGGCAGGATGCGGCGTGGAGTTCATCCAGATGCGGTCAGACACAGATGCTCCTTCAACTCCACCTTCCTTTCTGCCCAGTTTATTTTATCTTCCTAACATGGTTTTATCCTACCACCTTTGGCATTAGTCCAGATTTAATTTTTTCTTAAGGTAAGAATAATTACACAAAGTCCTTTGTTTTGTTTTATAATATTATCTTAGGACTTAGGTTTTGTAAACAGTAGTATGTACCAAAAGTGTTACAGAGAGGGGTTCTGGGAACAAACCTAGACTATTAACAATAGTTCTTAAGGAAGTGCATTTTCATTGCAAACTACATTTTCCCAGTTATCTACTGTTGCATAACAAACCACTCCAAAACTTAGTGACATAAACCATGTGGATGTGTCATTACACTGTTTTTCTTTCTTTCCATGTGGTTAATACACTCATACAACTCTAGCACTGCCTCCTGTTCAAGAGGCAATCCAACCTTTGAAAGGCTTTTGAATTCCAATGTAGCAGCCCAGGGGAAAAGATGTACGGAGTAGCCAGCTTAGCCACCTCCACTTCTTAAGCCACCGGGGAAAAGCGTTTTCTTCTCTGCGGGATCCTCATTCCAGGCCTTCTATTATGGCCATAGTAGTAAGACCAAGAATGCCAGGATTACTGTATGGGCCTAAAGGCAAAAGCCAACCAAAGAGGCCATTGAGCTGCCTCCAGTCTATGAATTATGGGATTACTAGTGGCTTGAAATGGACAACCACATAGAGATTGGGACCAGTGCCGTGGCCAGTAACAAAGTAGGCGTTTTCCTGCAGTGATTTCTGTGCTTACATGACTTAGACCTGAGTAGACGGCTGGTGGTCAGTTGGAAGATTCCGAATCCTAACAATACCCTGTCATGACTAAAACCTTCATGTTCCTGGAGTGGTGTTAAGTAGAGACAGTCATTCCCTCTCTATGCACCACATCTGTATATCTATACGCAGTGTTTGTCTACCTGCCTATTCTCATTAAGGTGGGAGCTTCTAAAGGGTATCAAATATGTGTCATTCATCTTTGCATCCCCCAGTGCCGAGCACTTATTTCCCACACAATAAATGTTACCAGCCTAGTGACCCCTCCTACATTTTATTACTGCACTAATCCTTCTTAAGCACATACTTTCACATGTCCAAAAACCTCCAGGAGCCTCCTGTCGTTGTGTCAAGTCTAAACTCCACTGCCCAATTCCCAAGGAACTTTACAGTATGTAATAGGTAGATTTAATTTTTAAAAAAATTCTTTTAAGAATCGATTGGTTTTCACTAATTTCTTTCAGACAGAAATAAGAATTAATTTAGGGCAACCAAATGGTAAGTTTTGCTGCTCAGTTTACCTCAAATTCTAACTCATGAACAGTGCTTTCTTTGATTGTCTTTATTTTTGCCTTACATGAACTTGTGCTGCCCTCAGAGTTTGTATCTCACCCTATTACTGAGTTACATGATGTCTTGTACAGGACGGAAGGGTTCCCATTATATAGTTCCTCATAGTTCCCATGATGATAAGATTGTGCAACAAAGCAAACTGCATCACAACATGGAACTATTTACTAATGAATTGATCCCTTATAATGTCCGAAGGGTCTATTCCAAATTCACAAAAATGATTGCCTTTGACAAGAGGGGAAAGGGAATGGAATGGATATGGTACTCAAAAAGGCCTTCAGCTTTATCTGTAATAGTGTTTTGAAAGAAGAATGTACTCATGTTATGGTAAATTTCTGAAGATACCTACAATAATCTCTCCCATGCTGCTTACCCCTTTGTCATGGGACACTGCTGCTCTTCCCATGAAAAGATGGAGTCTATTTCCATCCGCTGGAACCTGAGCTTGGTCTGTGACTTGCTTGGATCAGAGAATATGGTGAAAGTGACACGGAGAAAGTTCCAGAGCCCAGCCTTAAGACACCCTGCAGCTTTTGCTTCTATTTTGTTAGAACTCTGTGGCATCATGTAAAGAAGTTTGACTTCCCTACTAGAGAGATCAGATGGAGAGTCCCTGGAGGCTGAAAGACCGAGAAGAGAGAAATCCAGGTATTCTAGTTGTCCCAGCTGAGGAGCCAGAGACGTGAGTGGGGCCATCTCAGATTCCTCAGCCCAGACTATAGCTGAATGAGCATGCCCAGAAGAAGGGACCCAATCCAGCTGAGCTCTGCCTAGCCAAATACAGAACCATGAGTAAATAAAATGATTATTATTTTAAGCCGCTGAGTTCTGTGCTGGTTTGTTACACAGCAATAGATAACTGCTTATTATATTACTTGCGTTACTCAAAATAGATTTTCAAAAATAAATAAGCCACATGCAAACCTTTCTTCCTGTTTAACAACTAGCCCCTCTTCTTTTCCCACCTCACACCCCATCTCTTTAATGTCTCTATTCATCTAGCTGATTATACAATATCCAACAATGCAATGCAAAATCAGCTTAAATCAATGCAAAATCAGGGAGAACTGATTATAATGTGAAATCGCAAATCTTGCAAAATATGTAGGAAATCATGAAGTTGATGAAGGTAATGTTAGCAAAGCCCTTGAATCATGGGCAACTCCTCCAACAAATGAGAATCTGCAGCTGGAATAGTTAACATGTGAAGAAGAAAAAATCCACATGGATGATGGTACAATAAGTGCTTCAAAAGGGAATGATTTGAATGTCAAAATGTAAGAGAGGCTCTTGGAAAATTGATGAAGCCCTCAAATATATTTGAAATAATGACACTCTTTATGATTTGCCCACAAAAGTCAAATGTAAAAGGACATTATATCATGATACCGTATAATTTTGTTAGAAAATTATGCTTCTCAAAGTCAATTCTTGATCTATTCTTTGTTCTAATATTTAACACATTTTCAACCAACAAAATTTTGTTAAATATAAGGTAAATTAACTCTAATGATTTTCCTTTTTTAAAGATAATGTCTCAACAAAATCTTTTCACTTTTTTTTTCTGGTCTTTAATTTTAAAGGATTCACTTTAAGTGGGTTTTGGGGGTACGAATCATCTGAGGAAATTGGAGGTTTCTGTAAAAACATCTTTAATTCATCTTTCTAACTAGCAGGTGAACTCGTTGAGGGCAGGGTCTTGAATCATACTTTGCCAGTATCCTCTGGATAGTGCAGCAAGCATATAGCAGAGGATAGGGATTCAATAAATGTGACACCAAATGGCTTGCTGATTGATTGTCTTACATGCAGATGTTGCCATTGAAGAATGGCACTGTTCCATTATTCAATCCCTGACCCAACGTGAGCTGGCATTTGTTCCTCTCAAAATTGTTCATAGAAGGCCTATTACAAACTTCCTGCTGAAACACTTTCAAAGGCTGGATACATTTAAAACCAATTCAAGCATGTAAAGTCATTTTAGGAAATAAGCCCCACATCCCAAGGGCTCGGATGAGGAGGGCCACGTTTGAGAACAGGTGTGCCACTCCACTGAGCAGGAATTTGGAAATGTCAAACATTAGAACCACCTCAGAAACTGCAACTCAACCTGTCAACGGTCACATTTCTGGACATGTGTCAATAAATGCCTTGTAGAGATGGGTATTTGAGAAAATCTCTCAGCACAGATTTAAAAATAGTTAAAACAAATTAGCATGATAGGTTCTTAAAGAGATCATACTCCTTTTTTTTTTTTTTGATTTTTCAATCTTCTCAAAAAGATGCATATTTTTTTAATAGTGATCATTCAAAAAGTTTCCATCTATTACATGATAACAGTCCACGACAGCAGCATTACTTGTTTTAATGTCCCTGAAGCCCAATCTCTTTCAGTGTATTTTGTATCCCCAATTGCAAAAGTAATAAGCACTGGGCTGTTTTCCTTGTCTTTATAAGGGTAACTTCCACTCCTTTGCAAATGAGAAACTAACAAATATGAACCTGGCTGCATGTACTCTTTAAACTCTGCCCCTCCCAGTAGGACACCCGGTGCTCTGCAGCCCATCAGTCAGTTCTAGGGCAAACGCAAACAACACGCTCCCTTACAATAACTTGTATCCAGGAAAAAAAACAGGGGCTCTGTTGCATCTGTAGCATAGCAGCCAGAAAAAAGTTTACTAGCTTTAGCCAATTGGAAGCTGTGGAGCTGGGCCAAGTTAGCCTGTTTTTTCTCCGCCTCGAGATGAAGTCATGATTGAAATATGGCATTGAACTTATTTCTAAAAGGGAAAGGGAGTAGGAAAGAAAAGCTAAACGTGTAGCAAAGTGCCCTGTGCCGAAGAGAACGTGCTTAGGAAGTGTGTGCATGCTTCTGAACCCTGAGTGGTTCTCAGTTCTGTAACCTTCTCCTCCCACTGGGTGGAGTAGGGCCTTTAAGAGCAGCTGGAATGCAGTTCCCCTGATCAGCCTAGCCAGTTGTTGCCTGTCTGAACCTCTGCCCGTCCTGGAGAGCGGTGCTCTGAGCTCAAACCAGTGGGCTTCTTTCTGTTCACCACCGCCCTTCTCGCCAGAGCAAGCAGCAGCTCCCCACAGGGAAGAGTGTTTCCACCTGCCCAGCCATGGGAGAGGACGCTGTACAGGCCGAAAAGTTCCAGCAATTGGGCTCTGATGTGCGGCACGAGAAGCCAACAAGCCCCAGCCCGATGCCCTCCTCCACGCCGAGCCCCAGCCTGAACCTGGGGAGCACGGAGGAGGCCATCCGGGACAACTCGCAGGTGAACGCCGTCACGGTGCTGGCGCTCCTGGACAAGCTGGTGAACATGCTGGACGCGGTGCAGGAGAACCAGAACAAGATGGAGCAGCGGCAGATCAGTCTGGAGGGCTCCGTGAAGGGCATCCAGAACGACCTCACCAAGCTCTCCAAGTACCAGGCCTCCACCAGCAACACGGTGAGCAAGCTGCTGGAGAAGTCCCGCAAGGTCAGCGCCCACACGCGCGCGGTCAAGGAGCGCATGGACCGGCAGTGCGCGCAGGTGAAGCGGCTGGAGAACAACCACGCCCAGCTCCTCAGGCGCAACCATTTCAAAGTGCTCATCTTCCAGGTCAGTGACCCCTGTGCCTCCTCACGGGCGGGCTGGGACTTCCCAAGGCTCATGGACCTCAGTCCTCTTGGCACTCACAGCCATATTTACATCTGTTCTGCCTGTCAGGGATCACACACACAAGGCATTGTCCCCTGTCTGCCTGCAGCAGGCGAATATGAGATCTGCACACCGAGGTGGGAATTTCCCAGGTCACTGCAGCCTAACCTCAAGGCAGATGCCCGCAGGGTTGGTAGGCCGGGTCATTTGTCAGAGAGCACCTGGATGCACTCCGTACAGGTCGGGAAGATGTGCAGGTGCACATACGCTAGTCAAATTCATTTGTCTCTTTGCATTAAGAGCCTGGGGCTCTGGCTGCAGCTGTTAGCTGGACTGGGCAAATTAATTCAGTGGCAGTTTATTAACTCTTTATGGAAACGAGGTAATCATGTGAAATTTTTTTAACCAAGAAGTTAAACTCGTAACTGCTTAAACTATCTCTTCGTCGAAAGGCTACCAATGTCTTGGGGACTAACCAAATGGAGGATTGATTCCATTAGAGTTGAACTAGCCTTGTTCTTTTAAGACTTTTGTGGGTGAGCAAAGCAATCTTGTTGAGTTCTTTTCTAGCAAATGATGCACTAAAATTACAGAGCATAACTCTTTACAAACACACTAGATATGTCCCTCATTGCTCAGAGAGACCACAACTGTAAAGTAAAATAAAAGGAGTGTTATCAGTAACAGTCACAAAGGCTAGTCTTAAATGTTTTCTCCTTAATATGGTTGCCTTAGAATAAAAAGGCCACTTAATTTTTTTAATGCATCAATGATGCAATTAATGTAGCAAGAGGCTATTTGGGGACAGGGAGATTGCGTGGGGCTGTTGTTCCGCCAAGTGGTGGGCACTTGTGAATCCAAGGGCAGCCCTGCCTAATGCTGGAAGCCCTTCCGCCCAGTGGACTCAAGCCAGCACAGAGCCCAGGAAGCGATTGCCATCCTCGCCCCAGGGCTGTCTCCTTGTGACCATGTGAATAGGACAGGATTTCAAAGCCATGGAGGGGAGAGGCTATAACCAACAGTTTGATTGTGAAAGGCACACAGGGAGAGCCTTCATCTCCCAAGAGAGATTTAGAAATTGGGATTTAAACCGGGGGAGCCTTCTTATTCAAAAGGAATCTGCTCTGCCAAGTTAGAACCTAAGCCTTCCTACTCCCTTAAAAGGAAAGACTCATCTCGCTGCTTTTTTGTCCTCCTCACATTGCACTTGAGTATTGTAAAGCTTTAGGCAGCTGATGCCCTCCTATACCTTGCAGGCTTTCGCAGCCAGGAAACTTTTTAGCTTTTAATGCAAATGCAATAGCTTTTCATGCACCAGATGAACTGAAAAGAGATCCGGTAACTGGGCCTTTCTTAAGCCATATGAGATCCTTACTTTATTAGTCTAAAAGATATTAGAAATCTCAGCTCTCAAGGCATTTCTAAATTAAATACTGATCTCCAAATAAAACCAAACATGTACAGACCTGTTTAAATCTGAGTCACCAAAGGAAATTTCCCTTCTTCCGTATGAATCAGGGAGATTATCTCTTGTCCCATCCCTCAGTTAAGGAGGGAAAAAAAAATATTTATCTAGTAAAGAAAAGTCACAATTTTTCAGGATTGGTTTTTGTTTTGTTTTGCCACGGGTGTTCTGCGGATGTTGGAGGGGGAATGGAAGGGGATATGCTACTAGAAATTCAAGAGAATTGCAAATATGACATTTAAAAAAACAACTCTTGGGAAACTTAAAGGCACATGTTCATTGTTGAGGGCCTGACATGGTCTCCTGTTTTGTCGCATTGGACTGACAGGTGTGAAATTGCAGCCAGAAATGGTAGGAATTCTCCACATAGTGAGTAAAAGCTGAAACAGGAGTGCTCAAGACCAGTTGGAAGCTAAAGTGAATCCACAGCAATGTGTTCAGACTCCATTCTGGGCCCCTTAGCAAGCAGCCCCCAGGGACGCTTTTGGGAGAACTAAAGGCAAGTTACTGGACCTTTCTTAAGCCATGTAACATCCTTTATTAGTCTAAAGAATATTAGAAATCTCAATTCTCAAGGCATTGCAAGATGATTATTTTGAAAGAACAAATGCAAGTGCAGGCCCTCAGTGGAAAGGTTGCTCTTTTTCTTGTTCCTTCATAAAGTAGGGGTTTCTCTAGGGTAGTAATTATGCCAGTGGATAAAACAGTAATTTGTGTTACAGACTGGTCCGGTATAGTAGTTGAGAAGATAAATTTTGCAGTCACACAGACACCGGTTCAAATCCTTTTTTCACTACTTGTTATGTGATCTCTCAGACACGTTTTGTAGCTTCTCCAAGCCTCTATTTCCTCATCTATACACTGAGGATATTAATAAGAGCAAAAATATGTTGAGCACTTAATAAACCCAGCACACACTGCTAAGAAGCTTTCCGTGCATTATGTCATTTATCCCCAATTTACAGATGAGGATGTTGAGATTCAGAGATGCTAATGTCTTGTCTGAAGTTATTTAGTAAGCAAGTGGTGAAGCTGCCACTCACACGTTTAATTGATTTCAAAGATGTGCTCTTAAATGCTAATGCTTCCTCCCTCCCTTATATCTCTCTCATAGGGCAAGGAATAAAGAAAATAGCATTTAAAATGGTTAGTAAGGAATGGCATATATTAAGTGCTCAGTGAATAGAAGCAATTACTGAGTGGATCTGAAATTCATTTGCTCAGAGAGGCTACCCTTTTGCTTGCTTAGAAATGTAGATTTCTTGCTGGGCGTGGTGGATCACCCCTATAGTCTCAGCTACTCAGGAGGCTGAAGGAGGAGGATTGCTTGAGCCCAGGAGTTTGAAGTTGCTGTGAGCTATGATGACACCACTGCTCTGCGCAACAGAGTGAGTTCCTGTCTCCACAAAAAAAAAAAAAAAAGGCTCTTGGGTAAAAACTGACCCCACCCTACCCAGGACCTTAAAATGGCTATGCTTATGCTTTTTTACACACACCCACCACACATTGTATGGCTGTCACCACGTTGAAATCAACATATGTCTCATTTCCATGAAAGCAAAGGATTCTGCTCGAAAGACTGCTCCAAACAGACCCTTCCAGTAGCAGCACAGACTTCACCGTGTGGCGGAAGGGGTCAGTTTTCTGGACCTGTGGAGAGTGTAGAGGGCAGTTAACGTACCAGGTGCCACTTTATGTCTTTAAAGTAATTTATCACTTTTAGTCCCCTCGAATCCTATGCTGGACTTCCCCTTACTAAATCTATTGATTTTTCTGATTTAAGACAAAAAATTATGTGAAGAGAGAAAAGAATCTGTCCCTTGACTTGAGCATATTTGGTACTGTAGTGTTGAGACGATTACATTTTCAGTTTGTGAAATCCTGTCATGTCCTTCAAAATTTAAAGGTGTGTTTTGGTTGGTTGGTGGGCTTAGTAGATACTTAACGCATTTGCGTTTTTTAAATTCCAAACTTTGTCTTTAATTTGTCCTACTGAAAACATGTCTTTTATTTCTTTAAATCTGCACTGAATGTTACAGCATTGTCGTAGCTATTAAGCATCAAATTTCATAGCCATTACCTCAAATTATAACCAATAGTATCTAAAACTAGAGAAACATTCATCTCCCTTTGAGCAATAAAATAAATTTCAAAATCCTGGATAAACCCAGCAGGTTTTTTTTTCAAATTTTTTTTGTAATAGCTTCAGATCAATGTTTGAATTCAAAATACTGTGACATGACCCAGCATAAATGAAATAAGACTCACAGGCATTGCTGATCAAAAAGAAGATGCTAAAGAAAGACTAAGACTGCCTGTAAAGATGGCTATATTTTGCTAAAATCAGATATTTTACAGAAAATCAGTGAATTTACAGTTAAGAGGAAATTTTCTCTGTTGATATAAGAGACTAGAATTTCACAGGTAACTGGCCCTGAGGGTGTGGTGTCCACTTATGTCCTCTTAAGGTTCTAATAATGAATATTTGAAAAAGGAGTTTCAGAATGACTTCAAATCCAGGGAACAAAATGAGAGAACTCATGGACAGCTTACACTTTCATCCACATAAAATTGGGAAATTGGGTGGAAAAAAAGTAGAAAAGTTAGATATTTGCAGTGGATACATTTCTGGGGAATTGAGCTTATAAATGTGTTCAAATATTCATCATTTGGGTTCCTTCGATGAGATCAGAATTTTAGAAAGGTGCTAAACGTGTAACATATTCAGACTATTTTAAAATTGATTTTTTAAAAGCCTGCACCGTATCCAAAGCCAGTGCTCTGAAAACTGTTAAATTAGTACAAACCTGGAAGAAATGGGGATATAGATAATCAAAGACACCTTTCTGTGACAACCGGCTGTGTTTATATCACATTGATTAATGTTCCCATTTGGGATATTGGTTTTGATGTGTTACTTACCCAGTGCCCTTTTAGTTTGAGGTAAACAAAAATACTACTTCTTATTGTTATTATTTATGCTTACTGAATGTCCCCACTGCCCCAGGCACTTTAAGTGAATAACTGATTATTGTGGGTATTTCTTCAAAAGAATCATTACATTCTTTCAGATGCAGCCTTTCCAAGTAAATGTTTCCCATTCCATTGCTTTGTAATCTCTATCTGTTTGAATTGAATGAATGAAAAACATTCTCCAATGCAACTCAGGTCCTATAGTTTTGATTCTTGATGAAACAAAATACACTCGGCATTAGTACACTACAGAATCATTTCTGCAATTTGTTAATTCTTTTTCATGGAATTTAGGTTAATATCACAGAATAAAATATTTTAGAGCTGGAAAGCACCTTAATAATTATTTAGTTTAACTTCATTTTATATCAATGATGCAGAGGCCCTGAGAAACCAAATGTCTAGCCAGGTTTCATTTTATTCATAATAGAAATTACTGAAATGAGTAAAAACAAACACTGTAATCCCACTATGGTAAAGTTCACCTTTACTAGGTTTTCCATATCAGCTTTTAAATAATTCAGTGTGATTTGGATTTTTTTTGGTTCTGTTTTGTGTATTTTATGTGTAACAAAGAACACCTAACCAGTGTGATCTTAAAAAAGAATTGAACCCTTGATAACACTGAAAAATAATGAAACTTTTAAATCCTCCAGCATGTGAAAGACTGCTCAGGGATTATAACTAATGCATTTCATTCTTATGTCTTACTGATTCCACCGACAGTTGCCTTAGGGGTGCAGTTCTAATCAATGGCTTTATCCACTTGGCAATCTATACCTCAGAAACACAAATCGGAGAAAATCATCAATGTATGAAAGAGACTTATAAATCAGAACATCAAGTGGGCATAGTTTCATATTAACAACTAGTATTTATAAATTATTAGATGAAACATTTCATGTACATAAATTTATGGTCTTCATATCCCTCTAGGATGCTACCACATCCCTGTGGGAAAATGACATCCTTTGTTATTTTTTTCTAACAACAGAAATGGTAAGTTAGTGCCAGGAAAGCAAACTGCTGGCTTCTCTCTCCCTATGCAAGATTTTAAATGACATACCTTAGATTTCCTTTTCTGATGCTCATCCTCTCTTTTCTTTTCTTTTTTTTTTAAGTACCCAGACCTTTTCTGGCAAGAGTCTTCTTTTCTTTTAAAGTGTGCATATCTGTATATGTGCCGAGAAGATTTGTTTCCGTGAGCTTCAACCCAAGAAGTGTGCGACACGTTGGCAAGTTTATCTGAGTTGATACCACTAGGGCTGTTAGTTCACTAGAATCAATAATAACCAGCAAACAAGTGGAAGGGAAAGGAAAAGTGCTACTTTTCTAGAGTTCTTTCCATTCCTTTTCTCTTTTATGCTGCAAGAATATCATTCAGATATGTTTGAAATGTGCTGTTTAATTCCCTTTCTTTTGAAAAACTCCTAAGGGTCCTTATGAAAGATCAGACCCAGGAACACCTGTATCAGTGGAGCCAAAGACCTTTTGGAAAACAAAGGGCAAATAATCAGCTGCTCCTGGGGCCTCTACTGCCCAAAGAATCAATTCAGCCCAAAAGGGATTCTCAGTGCCATTTCAAGGAGCCACAAACTCTAAGTAGACATATGATTAACTAGCAGAGGTAAGCAGGGAGCCAGTTGAGGATGTATACGTGGCCCTCCTCCTTGAGGTAGCCGTCAGTCTTGGAATCTGTAAGAGAAAGCAGATCAAAAATACAACAGCAGGTTGTACTAGTTTGCATTCCTACCAACAGTGTAACCCAACAGCACTCATGGGCACAGAGGGAAATAAAATGCAACAGAAATCAAGCAGGTGGGAGGGGGGAGGAGGGGATGGGTGAAATCACACCTAAAGGGTACAACGAACACTATCTGGGTGATGGCACACTTATAACCTTGACTCAAGCAGTACAAAAGCAATCCATGTAACCAAAACATTTGTACCCTCGTAATATTCTGAAATTAAAAAAAAAAAAGCAACAGGAGGCTGAAGGCAGAAGTGTCACCTTCACCTCACCTGCAGGCATGTGAGATATCAAGTTTCCATGAGGTGTGTGTGAGAGCCTGGGCACAAGGGCACCTCGGGAGAAGGCAGTTGCCAAGGATCCATTATCTGAAGTTCAAACTGAATTTCCACCACCGTAAGAGTGACTTCACCTGTCACACACCACACATATGTCTTGCTAAAGAACAGAGATTTTGAAAAGTATTAGTATTTTTCTGCTTCTAAACAAACATTACGGAAAGGTAAGACCTACGAGTGCTTGGACCCTTACAAATTCCTGTGTGAAAAGAAAGGGCTTACCTTCAGAGCGGATGTCATCAGAAGCTTCAGAGTAAACACTGTCCAGTAGACAGAACACGAAATCCCGCTTGAGTAATTAAAATGACAGCAGATGCATAGCAATTAGCCAGAAGACATATCTCATTTGTTTCCAGTTGCATGTAGACACATCCAACTCATTCTGGATTCTCTCTGTTCCTGCTGGGTTTATTTTCATAGTTGGCATCGAAAAGCTCTCATATAAATTTCCCTGGCATTTTACAAAAGAGTTCAATGGGTTTCCCCCTTCCCTCAACACCCTGTCCCCATATATGCAGCATGTATCTACCACAGATCACTTTCTATTCACTTTATAACAACTTTCCTCAAAGCTGTCCCCAAAGAACACAGGATAAGAAAGACAAAAGAGGCTTAAGACTCAACAGTAACTGCTTTTGTGATAGTAAAACTTATATTTAAGGAAAAAGTACAATATAATTAGTTCAATTCCTTTAGAGTACAGTTAATATACCTACCTTTTGTTGGGGTTGAAGAAAGGAACATTATCCAACTTGCTACCTTTGATTACCGTGAGAAATTATACTATAAAAATGTACTTCTTCTGTCATAACCAAGGCTTATTTATACAGTTTTCTGCCTGGATTTCTGCTTTCCTCACTGATGACTTTTAATAACATTTCACTGAACTCTTGTTTTTTTCTTTTCTGCAAACAACTCCTGTCAAACCCTTCTAACCCTCTTGTCAAGGCCCGGAAGTCATTTTGTTTCTGGACTAAGCATGCGAGCCCTTGCTATTTCTGTAGTCTATCCCTCTTTCAGTAATACTCATCCACTGAGAAGAAAATCCTTTCTCAAAAATGGAGATTACTGCGCACTTTAGATCTTAGGTTCTCCTGATTTCCCAGTGGAAGCAGCAGTCAGCAAACTTCCTTCTAGACACAGAGCTAAACCCATGCTTTTGTAGTCCTCGAGCCTGCCCAGCTGAGGGGCCATCTCCATTCCAGACATTCTCAGGGCTTTCTAGAAAGCCACCTTACCCAGCTTGCATTCATTCTTGTAGCAGTCCCGGATTCCTTTCAATTTTTTTCCCTTTTCTTTTACTACATACCTGACACTTTCCATGACATTCAAAATGGAAGGGTGTAGGCCAGGCATGGTGGCTCACACCTGTAATCCCAGTACTATGAGAGGCCAAGGCAGGAGGATCGTTTGAGCCCAGGAGTTCAAGGCTGCAGTGAGCTAGGATCAAGCCACTGCACTCCAGCCTAGGCTACAGAGTAAAACCCTGGCTCACAGAAGAAAAGGCGGGGGGGGTGGTGTAGAGAGGCCTTTGGGAAACAAAGTATGTGATATCTTCATTCTAACAAGGATTCTATTTAACCAGACTTTCTGCTTTTTACCTCTACCCAAGATGTTATCCTCTATGTCTAACCTATTTATGGAAAGGACTGTGTATGTGTGTGTAAAAGGGATATACAGGGCTGTATCTTTTCAAAGAGTATCATTAATTGTACCATTCAATGGTTAATAAGGAGAGACATATTTTCAAGTTTCTCTATAATATCTAAACTTTTTTCATTTAGTCTTTGTATCAAGAAGTTAAAAATATACAGTCATACTCTTAAAGCATGTTTTCAATCATGACCCATTCTTGTTAACTTTTCAGTCAATCAACATTGCAAAAAAAGAAGGGGAGTTCTTACCATTAACATGAACTTTGCATGACGTTTAGATCTCAAATAGATTTTTAATTGACTAAATCCAGTTATTTTTCAAACTGAAAGTTTACTGAGCAACCCAAAATATAATAACATAACCTAGAGGCTCTGGTAGCAGTAGGCGTGGCAGGGGCTCTGGAGCCTTGCCGCCCTCTGGCATTCCTGCAGAACCCCTGGTGTCCCCAAGGGTGCAGTTTGAAAGCTGCTAATCTAGGTCAAATCCTATTGTTCATGTTTGGAAGAAACTGAGACCCAAGGAGATTACAAATTATCTGCCAAAAGCTGCTTAGCCATTTAACAGTACAGCAAAGACAGACTTAGGCCTCCTGACACACATCCAATACTGTGTCATTTCTTTCAATGAAAATGTGGAGGTACCTTGCTGATTTGCTCTCATTTTCCAATATTCAAAGACAAACATAAAAATCGAAAGGATTCTTATACTGTGTGACCCAAGTCTGTCTGGATTCCAATCTGCCCAGCGAGCAATGCTGCAGCACCATCCCCCTTGCACACTAGAGGCAAGTTCTCAGGCTCTGCTCCCTGAGACACCGAGAAGAGCCACCTTTGCCTGTGTACCTAGCAGTTGGGAAGAGATGTGCTGGGAACAATGAAGGGGGCAGCTTTCTCTGCTGCTCTCCCCTCGCTCTTAGCTGGAGGTTGGTGGCCAAAGTATTTTTCCCCAGAGAAGCTCTGTTTAACAAAAGAGGCTTGATAAGCTACGACTGCAGCATAAGCCTTTAGACCTCAGTATTCTAAAAATGACACTAATATCTCACCTCCCCATTACTAACTGCCACAAAGGATATCCTAAACCACGAGGCTTCATGAGTGGCCCCCGGGGAAGGCAGCCCTTGCTTCTCTTACTCTGAAATGATGTCATCAGCTTTAGTGTGTGCTTTCGAACAGATGCTAAGTTGACCATCCCTTTACTGCTGACCTCTAGTTGCAGAGGGAACCTCATCAAGGCTGTACATGGTGTCTGGTACCTGAGGACGTCTCAGTTCTCTCCCGTTTCTATCTTTTATCTGCCGACTTGAACTTCAGGCTCTTTTGCAGTGGGATTTTTGGGAGGAGTGGAGCCCTCTGACCTCAAGGAAGGGTAGGGGAGAGAGGGCCTCTGGGTTCACAGCAGAGTAACTTACTTTAGTGCTTTTATCTAGGCAGCTTCCTGTCCATCTGAGTCACAGCCACTTCCCCTGCCTGTCACTGATAGGGCTTTCGCTGGCTGCCCTCATGATATTCTCAGTGGGCAGCCCTTGGCCTTATCCAGGCGAAGGGGAATGACTTGACCAATTTAGAATTAACTCTTCCTCTTCTAGAAAACTGAAGCCATGAACGTTTGGTTTCTATCATGCCCATGTCCTCAAAACAGAAACACAAATATACCATTTCAGAATTCTTCGGGAAATGTGTTATTAACATGAAACCTACATTGTCTATCTTTTCAGGAAGAAAATGAGATCCCTGCCAGTGTGTTTGTGAAAGAGCCAGTCCCCAGTCCGGCGGAAGGGAAGGAGGAGCTTGCCAGCGAAAACAAGTCCCTGGAGGAGACCTTGCACACGGTGGACCTCTCGTCGGAGGATGAACTGCCCCGCGACGAGGACGCGCTGGAAGACAGCGCAGAGGAAAAGACGGAGGAGAGCCGGGCGGAGAAGATAAAAAGATCCAGCCTTAGGAAAGTGGATAGCCTCAAGAAGGCATTTTCTCGCCAAAACATCGAGAAAAAGATGAACAAGCTGGGGACAAAGATCGTATCCGTAGAGAGGAGAGAGAAGATTAAGAAATCTCTCACATCCAATCACCAGAAAACATCCTCAGGGAAAAGCTCCCCCTTCAAGGTTTCTCCCCTGACTTTCGGTCGAAAGAAAGTCCGAGAGGGAGAAAGCCCCGCAGAAAACGAGACCAGGTCGGAAGACACGCCGAGCAGCGAGCAGGTGCCGTCCCAGGAGGAGGGCTCCTTTGCGGAGGGCCTTTCCGAGGCGTCCCTGGCCAGCGCGCTGCTGGAAGGGGACAACGCGGAGGGCGCTGCCGAGAAGGCGGCCTCCAGGGGGAGCAACTCGGGCGTGGACAGCAACGTCGACTTGACCATTATGGAAGACGAGGAAGGGGAGTCAGTGGCCCTGGAGCAGGCTCAGAAGGTGCGCTACGAGGGTGGCTACGAGCTAACCTCGGAGGAGGCAGAGCGCTCAGACGAGGAGCAGGTGCGCCCGGCTGTGCTGCAGGTGGACCAGAGCGCCTAAACGCGCCGCCCCTGCCCGCCCGTGCCTCAGTCAAGCGGTCCACCGGAGCCCGAAACGAGCTCCTGCACACTCCAGCGCCGCCCCTCACTGCTGCCTTCCTGCCCGGGCAGCAATAAAGGACCATAGCAGTAGCAGCATACACAAGACCAGCATTCACTATGAAAGCAACCTGCCCGGGCTCTGCTTTTAATTCGCCCTTAGGTCCTATTTCTGTAGAGTTTCTCCAGGATTGCCAGGAAGAAGAAATCGAGAAGTTGAAAAACGTTGATCTGTTTGTCTTAGTAAGAAAAACTAGAGGATACTTAAAATACTAGTCACGAAGTATGATGCGTTCTTTTTTGTCACTCCGTAAGCTTGCTGAATAGTGTACCAGTAATACATTGAATTCCCACAGGACTCTGTGACTCTAATTGTGATTCAAGTGTGTGATTATATAATATAAAGACATAAGCTAAATATATGTTTTAAGAAGAAAACATTTACACAAGGTAGAAGAGACTGTTCAGTTGGTTACTCACTTAATAGATACCATTGCTTTATTGTAAACAAAGGAAAAATTGAAAGATTATCATAGCTAATGAAGTAAGATATGTGGTAAAGTCTGAACTATTAGAAAAGAAAACTAAGAAGGAAAAGTTGGAAAATAAGAGAAACAGGAAACAAAAAATGCCAAAGAGATTGAAGACAGAGAAAAAAGTATGTGCTGAAAAATAAAATATTTACAATATTAGCTTAACTGTTTCGCTCCTTAAATAACAATACTAAAACAGGTTCATATATCCTGGAATAATATGTTGTATCTTCAAAGTATTTTTATTTTCTGATATTTTCAAACAATATAACAAATATTTTACAGTGTTAAAGCTGTATTTTTTTCTTAATAAAAGACATTACAGATATTTTAAGGAAGTTCAAAAAATGTCTCTTTAACATTGGAATAAATGTATATCTTCAAAATGTAATCAACATCTACTGCCTTTTGTAGGAATTTTAATGTAATGTTTTCCAAATTTGAAATAAGCCTTAAATTCCAAATGATGTAATACAGACTTATAAAATGTTAAAATCTACAAGTTTGGGAAGTGAAGGATTCTATTTTTCCTTTTTTGTATTTAATGGTAATTTCATTCCAGGTTATATTTTATTTATATATTAATTTCACAGAATATTAGTGTCTCGACTTTTTAAAGCATGGTAGTGTTTTATGTATATATACACATTTATTGAGGTAGGTTAATTTTTACTGCTAACATTATACTAAAATATTGCTTTATCTATTTTTAATTACAAAATGCTAATGTTTTGCTAAGTTATAGTTTAAAGACAGTTGACCCAGGGAGCAAATTCCCTGCCTTTAGTATGTGCCACCATAAGTAACTTTACAAATAGAGGTAACCCAAGACAATATTAACAAACTATGCTTTGTCTTTGATAAAAGGGATAGGCTTAACAAATGTATTGATGGCATAACCTATTTAGCTACGTCCTTGTTTTTGCAATAATGTAACCTCAAAAGTTGGGTTGTTGAACTAACAATGGCTGTATTAAAGAAGATTAAATAAACCAAAACATAAAATGTATATAACAATGTCAGTTTTTTGGCAGAACAATTTTAGAACAAGTAGAAAGAATTGATTTTTAAACTCTCCTCCAAATGTAGCAGTAATATTGGTTGTTTCAGTCTTGATTTCCCCTATTAACTCTGCTTTCTTTTCTCCCTGATCTCATTTAGAAATCTAACTCTCATTCTTCAAGTTTAACTTTCTTGACATCACCCTGCCAGCTCTGGAGAGCATCTGAATTTATTGCAGCAGCTTGATGAATTTGATAGTTCCATCTGCATTTTTATTGTATTATACCAGACCTTACAAAACCTTAAACAGCCCTGCGAACGTGAATGTATTGAACTGTACGTTCAATTTATTCACGCAGATAAACCTTTGTCTTCTGCAGCGCCATAGACGTGGTAGAAGACTTAATTTCACTCAGGGCCCAAAGCGTGCCTATTTAACCTTTACAGAGTTGCTGTCACTTCTTGCAGCCAAGGAGTTGGAGGATTCAGAGCTAATGTAATGTTTACATTTCCTTTTCAAAATGCTTTTTTCATTTGTCCCTATATGCTAGCAGTATGTCAGTGGAAAACTGCACTCAGGCATTTTTAAAGTTTTACTAACAATAACATTTATTCTGTGTTCCACATTCGAAGCATTAAGATCCTGAGCAATAAAACAGAGAATTAAGCCAGATAATTGTTAGAAAACACATACTGTAGGGATTAGAGAGAGCAGCAGTTGTGGAAATGGAAGCTATTTATTCTGTATTATTGTTGAATTATTTGCATACTGGTGAGGCTGCAAAGTCCCCAAATTAGATATGTCTTCTTCCCACCCATCCAATAACCCACTCCTAACTTTATGTGCCTGGAGCTCAAGAACTGGATTAGGTTTCCCCAAAGATAGGTTACACATTAATAAGGACTGAGATCCATATCTTAGAAATATAATTCAGGAGTAAGAAGTGTCTATTACATGGATCACAAATCTCACAGAAATATAGCAAAAATGTCATTTTTCCGAAAGATTTATCTTAAAAATACATAGATACATATTTCAACAGCGATCTTTTCTTTCCACTTAGGAATCTAGTATATGAATGAATTACTGATTCTTTTTATACATGAAAATAAAAGACCCACACTAAGAACAGTTCTACACAAAACAAAGATTTCTGGGCCAGACACAGTGGCTCACACCTGCAATCCTAGCACTCTGGGAGGCTGAGGCAGGAGGATCACTTGAGGTCAGGAGTTCAAGACCAGCCTGAGCAACAGCAAGACCCTGTCTCTACAAAAAATTTGAAAAATTAGCCAGGCATGCTGGCATACACCTGTAGTCCCAGTTACTCAGGAGGCTGAAGCAGGAGGATTGCTTGAGCCCAGGAGTTTGAGGTTGCAGTGAGCTATGAAAACACCACTGCACTTTAGCCCAGGTGACAGAGCAAGACTCTTTCTCAAAAAAAAAAAAAAAAAAAAAAGACTTCTGATGATTATTGTCTAATAAAATCCCAAAATGTTTCCCCATTTAGAGTGCCCACCCAGAAGAGCAAAGTTTGAACCTCAAGCAATTTAGCCCCTATCAGGAAACTAGAAGCTCCTTCAATACAGCCAGGCTGCCAGTGTAAGTAAAGGTTATAATGAAAGTCATTTCCTACATTAAGACACTAATGCCCAAAACCAGTTAATTCCTGCTCAAAGGTTTGTTTACTGCCCTAAAGCCCAAATCTAAGTGATTTTATATTGGAGATTGAGAGTATGAAGAATGGAGGTACAGGCAGCAATCATTATTAACAGGTCCATAGCAACCACAAGTCTTTTCCTAAAGACCAAGACTCAGGCACTGCAAAACAAGTTTCAGATGAAACTGACATTGTGACCTGTGTATTCTGCTTGATCTGGGTGTCTAGATAAAGACATCTGCAGCCAGGAACTCATTCCTAAAGGCAACAGGCAGTAACTCGCATTATTAAAGATATTTTCTTACTTTGGTTATAACGATTACATTATACTGCAGTATTTGAAACTCCAAAATTATTTTTAACTCTCCACACAAACTGCCCCAATTAAGAAGTCACACCTTTAGCAAAACAGCTTGATGTTCAGACATTTATACACTTTCCACTGTAAAAACCAATTTGTTAAAAATGTTTATTGAGCAAAGCAACCTTTAGTCCCTCCTGTTTGCTAAAATTCTTAGTGCCAAAGCAGTAAGAGCTTACTTTACGGCAGGTGGGGCGCTCCAATAGCCAGCAATACTGTGTACCTACCACACATTGGACATAAGCATTATCTCATTTAATCATACAAAATCCTATTATGAAGGTGATATTTTTACCTTCATTTTAAAAGAGTAGGAACCTGAGACTTTCGAAGTTTATTGACTCCAACTAGTACGATGGAGTGGGGGAGAGACTCCAGAGTTCTTAACCACTCTGATTCATCATGTTACCATTTAACTACTTTTCCTTTGAGGGTCACAGAATTAAGTGATTAGTCCAAGTTCAAATAACCAGTAAATGGCAGGGCCACTGTTCAATCCCAATCTGAAATCCATGCTACTGCCAAAACAGACACTTAATTATCACACAACTGTGCTTAATTGTAAGTCATTTTATAAGCTCTAAGATGGTATAATATTAACTTAATTTTAATCACCCCTTATACAGTTTCCCATACAGCTAGCTGTACTTTGTAAGTGATTTTGATGATTGTCATTCCAATGCTAAAAAAAAAACAGCTTGTGGTTCTGGGAGAGCCACTGAGAGACTATTATTCAAGTCTGCTGAGGCCACAGAGGGGCTCCTTAGTTCACTGGCCTTGTCCATTGTCAGTAGCTGCAGGGTTCACTTTGGGGCAGGGTTTAATAAGAGCAAGCTGTCAACAGAGATAGATACTGGAATCAGCTCATCCGAAGATGGCTCATGAAGTCGCCTCAAACTCTTTAAAGGAGTCATATCCCTGTGTCATACTAGAGAAACCGTATATCCTACTTGGACTCTTCCTCTCAAAGCCTGAAAAAAAAGACCAAGTAGAAAATCAGCATGGGGCAGGGGGTGGGGAGTGTGGAGGTTCAGGAAGTAGGATGAACCATGAAGATAGTGAGCCCTAGCCTAGGAATATAATTCCTGCAAAATTATCCAGCTGTGTACAAAAAACAGGAGCTAGGTCAAACAAATGCTGGTGTCTCCATTTCTGTGGGCAAGAAATCAAAGAAAACCCTCTAGGCCAGCCCTCATTCATCCAGATGTATGCTGCAGGCGGCAACTTCTTCCAAAGGCTTTGGCAGGGGTCACAAGCTCAAATGCCTGGAGACTCAGACATGAGTAAAATAGCTCAAGGAGATGGCTGCAATTGCAGCAAAACTATTGTGTGTGGGCTGCGTCCTCTCTGACGGACACCCCGAGAATCCATCTGCACAGAGGCGCTGCCTCTTTCTAATTCCCATACAGGGAGGGTATGTTCTAGGAACCACCCTGGTTGTGGTAAACTGGAAATCACTACCCAACTCCAGTTGCAATGTGAGAAATCAGGTCCACTGGTTTTCAGGCGCCAAACATAGACTTCTTTTAAGAAGAGCCAAACTCCAGATTCCGTTTTACAGGAAAATCTCCTGGCTTTTAATTTTTAGCAACTAGTTCAAATCATTTTAAACATTGTGTGAACCAAACATAAATGTCTGCTGGCTGGATGTGGCCCAGGCACAGACCATCAGTACTGATTCCTGGTATATAGAAGTGAAGGCTCTTGGGTTCTGCTCCCTTCCTGGAGGCATAGACACAAGAATAGAAAGCTAGTGACAGGATTGGATCTGCCTTAAGAAAAAACACAAAAACCGTCTTTGAGGGACATAAAATGCAAAAGCACCCTTGCCAGCACTTACAAGAAGTTTCTCTGTTGCCACTTTCTGAATTTATGAAAAGATTGCTGTTAATGCTGCGTACACTGTTAATGCTACGTACGCTGTTAATGCACTGAGATGTCAGTAACCAATCACACTGAAAGGTGGTTATATGTTCCCTAATGGGAATGTACCACTCCTTGTCAATGACATTGCTAGCCACCTGCAGAGCGCTGGAT